ACGTTTTGAGTGCTTCCTTTACATGTGTGTGTTCCTTCTTTTTTCCTTCAGGCTTAGAGGGAACATGTTCTGCCCGGTGGTGTAGGGTCCTAATTACTCCAAGTTTGTGTTCCAAAGGGTGATGGGAGTCGAAGAGGAGGTACTGGTCCGTGTGTGTGGGCTTCCAGTAAACTTCGATGTTGAGTTTGCCATTCTCTTCAATGTGCACGGCGCAGTCCAGGAAAGGCAAACAGTTGTCCTTTGTGTCTTCCCTGGTGAACTTGATGTTTTTATTCACAGCGTTAATGTGCGCAGTGAAGGATTCCACTTCTTGTGTCTTGATTTTGACCCAGGTGTCGTCCACATATCTGTACCAGTGGCTGGGTACTTCTTTGCAAGCTCCTTTGACTACGATGACCTGGATGACTGAGAACCTTCACAGACATATTTCCGTTAAATGTCATAAATTCCGTTTTCATGGATGCCTTGATGCCAAACTCAATTGTTACACCTGGTAGAGCAGAACGCTGATCATTTTATTAAAGATGAAAGACTTTAGACAGTTTTTCAACTCTCAGTAATGCCATAGTGATCGTTTGATATATGGACCTGCAGCGGAGTTTAGACCCAGACACTGCTAGTGACGTCAGACTGAACAACCGGATAGCCTTAAAAGTATTGAAGCTGAAGCCACATATCTTTCAGCAAAAGGAGCGGCCAATGGGAGTACAGCACATGTATATGACCTGATTGATAGAAAAGACGTGAATTAAACATTCTAACTTTTTTTTTTTAAACAGAGCCCTAATTACAGTAGTTGTTTGGAACTAACCCAAATGTTGATTTTGTCAGCAAACAAGAGAGTTATAAAAAAATAAAATAAATTTAATGCAGAAAAACGGCTTGGGAAATAGCTTGTAAGAGGTGGCTGGTTTAAAAATTTAACAGATCCCAGCTAATGGGTTGTGTTTGTGTCCCCATTTTATACTCTTCCCATAGTTTTATTGGGAACTCAACTGCATTAAAACACAGCAAATAGGAGCACAGAGCAGGAGAGAAACAAACATCTAACGGGCCGCGGGGAAAACAAGCCAGCTGAGTTTGGCTTGTTCTGAAGCATGAAAGGCGACATGAAAACCAGTGACCCAACCCAGTCCTTGTTTATTGGATTCAGATCGGTTTTAAAGTTTCCACAATTTCTGATTATCCCTCAGGGTTATAATTACGACATAGCTCTGGCCTGTGGGAGTACAATCGGAGCTAATGTAATGTTAGCCACAAGTATTTCACTGTTGTTGTGGTGACATTGCCCTCAAAAAATCAAAGTAATCTGCTGGGTCTTCAGTGCCTCAGATGGCAGAATCGCATAAAGATACTTGTGTTCGCACTTACAACAAAGAACAGAGCATTTGCTCATAGCTCAGACATTTTAGAGCTCGCAGAGCATCTTTTGCAAGAAGATAATAATGGCAGGCTGCAAGGCTGCTGCCTGAGGTTGGAAGGTGTGTCTGGATAGCCATAATTGTATAGCTGTGACACACAGCCTTATATAAGCCCTGATGGCATGTTTATAGGCAAAGTTCCTGAATATGGGCTGTGTGCATTTCTTTGTATCAAGTGTTTTTGGTATTTAAATAGCTCCTAGACCCACTTGATGATCAACAAAGACATGGTAATATCATTTTCTACAATATGCAGTTATTTTAGGTTTATTTGTTATTTATTTTAGACATTTAATTTTGTTGTGTATTGCTTCATTTTTAACAACATTGTCATAATTTCACTGATGTACAAATTACTAACAAGAAAACAATTTTTTACGTGACACTAGCTTGGTTTGTCTGAGACGAGGGTTGTTGTCTTTTGGGGTTTTTTTTTTTTTCCTGTGTTGGTGTTCCTATAATAATTACCTACACATAAAACTGGTTTTACTGTATACCTAATGACTTGTTACTGTCGCTAAGCACACTATGTATTTATGGTGAATACATTCGAAAGCAAAGTGGTTTGGAGTCGTGCAGTTGCAGCAGACTGTAATGTAAGACTGTAATGACATTGAAGACGCAGTCACCTGTGCTTATTAACAATAATCACCAATAAGGGAAAAACATACAAGATTTTCTTTCTTGAATCGTCAGTGTGATTGCCAGTAGTACAAGCCTAAGTCTGTTTCTGTTTTGGCCGGTTGCTGCACTGTTAATGTCAGAAAACAAAAACTGCTTTCTCTGTAACCTGATGCCTCTGCCCTACATCAACATCACATGAGTGCAGATCCTGAAAGAATTAGAAGAAGTTTCAGTGGCCAGCATGTAATGACGCAAACGTATTTGAGAAGAATGCGGTCGGTCTACCTTGGTAAACCAGATAGGTGACATTCCTCTAGAAACGCCCAGCGAGGCTGCATTGTCCCCGCCTCTTGTCCGTCTGTTCTCTGGGGTTCACTGTCATTCTCACTTCTTCTCTGTCACCACTTTAACGTCTTTCTAGGGCATGAAAAAAGGAGCCAAGTCAGAGGTGAAGAAGATGGGCCCTCTGAAAGTTGCCCACCTCAATGGCCTGTCCATATCCAGGCAGCCAGTCCACAGCGAGATTAAGGATGAGCCTGAACGAGCCTCGAATGATGAAAGGGTATGGCATCTAAAAATGTTTGAATTCGTGAGTGATTTTCTATGTGAATGGGATGTGTTTGAACTTCGTTTAGACTCTTGGAGGACTTTTTATGGAGAGGGTACGTGTTCTTGTTCAGAGCTTTGAAACACAACTGAACTCTTAAGGATTGCTAATCTTTATGGTTGTTGCGCTAACAGTGAAAGTAAACCCAAAAAGTTGGGACACTAAATAAATGCGGAATGATTTGCATATCCCATAAACCCATATTTTATTCACAATGGAACATAGAAAACATCAAATGAGAAAAAGAAAATGTTTTGAATTTGATGGCAGCAATGCGAGTCAAAAAGGCAGGGACAGGGGCATCTCCTCTTCTTCAAAAACAGTCTGTAAGTGTCTGAAGAACTGAGGAGACCAGCTGCTGGACTTTTGGGAGACGAATGTTGTCTTTTATCTTCTAGCTGCTGAACAGGTCTTCTCTGTCATATTTTTCATTGATGCTGTGATGTCAGATGTTTTTAGTTGGTGAAATATCTGGACTACAGGCAGGCTAGATCAGCTCCTTCTACCATGAAGCCAGACTACTGTAAAAGATGCAGTATGCATATGCCTTTCAGCATTCATGCTGGCTTTCTAGAAATATTCAAGATGCCATTTTTATAGGCACTAATGCAGCTACTTGTCATCAAAGATGCAGACTTTTGAACTGAGTGCTAATAACAAGCATGATGGCTTCTTTCCTCTTTAGTCTGGAGGACATGATGTGAAAAATAGACTTTGCATTTCCAATTAGTCTGTGAAAAGGAGCTTTGTCCCAGAACAGACAGTGGTGGTTGTGGATTATGATTACACATCACTTCTTTGAATTTGTGGGAGACACGGTGAACTCTGTTCAGGCAAAAACTTCTGGATGTGTTCCTGAGCCCATGCAGCACCACACGAGTGTAACCGCAGATTAGACATCCAGTATTGATTTTACAGTCATTGTTGTGACCTGTTTGTTAAAAGAATGCATTTTCTCAGTTTAAGCATTTGATATATTTTCACTTCCATGCAAAATATCTTCTTTGACAGCATTGTCCATGACAGTGACATATTTTCCGTTTGCATTTGTCAGTGCAAAGTGTTGGAGCAGCACATGGAGAAGGGTGAAGTGTTGAAGGAGTACGAGAGCATCCCAAAACGTCCAAGAGGGGAGTACACGATCGCCCAGCTGCCAGAAAGCGGAGACAGAAACCGCTTCCAAGACGTCTTGCCTTATGACGATACCCGAGTGGAGCTGGTTCCCACTAAAGAGAACAACACGGGCTACATCAATGCATCACACATTAGAGTAAGTTGTTTTGGGGATGTATGTACATACATTTGCAAACCAGATAACTAGAAATACTGTGCAAATAGATTTCTGCGACTCTTAAATTTCAGTCGTGCTTAATGGTTTGTGGTAAGGCAGCGTGTTAGTCACCTTTACTTCCTCTTTCTGGAGTTTCAGGCATGACAACATAACATCTTCCATAGATGAATAATATTTTCTGCTGTACTGGCTCTCCCTCTTTAAAAGAAATGACTGAGAATGCTCCTTATGTCTTATTTCTCATTAGATGACAGTAGGTGGGCAGGAGTGGAATTACATTGCCTCGCAGGGTCCCATGTCGCACACGTGTCAGGATTTCTGGCAGATGGTGTGGGAACAGGGTGTCTCCATCATTGCCATGGTCACTGCCGAAGAGGTACGTTGATTTAATTTTAAACCCTTTCATATTTTTTTCCCTCCTTGTCTCTATGCGCACTTACATATGCGCATCATCTCCTTTGTTCAGGAGAGCGGTCGAGAAAAGAGCTTTAGATACTGGCCCCGACTTGGCTCCCGGCACAACACAGTGACGTACGGGCGCTTCAAGATCACCACGCGGTTCCGCACAGAGTCCGGCTGCTACGCCACCACTGGGCTAAAGATCAAACACCTCCTGACGCAACAAGAGAGGACTGTCTGGCACCTGCAGTATACAGACTGGCCTGACCACGGCTGTCCCGAGGACTTCAAAGGCTTCCTCAGTGAGTGGATCAGTATCAGTTTATAATCAGATCTTTACCTTTTTGAGCCTAATAACCTCTGCTACATTCAGGTTTCCAGAAATGTAGTTAAATATAAAGTTTGCGTTCTCATCTTTCTCCAGCCTACTTGGAGGAGATCCAGTCTGTGAGAAGACACACAAATAGCATCAGTGACCCAAAGAACTCCAACCAGCCTGTGCTGGTGCACTGCAGCGCAGGAGTGGGTCGGACTGGAGTTGTCATCCTGTCTGAGATCATGATAGCGTGTCTAGAGCACAATGAGGTAATTTTCTTACCCTAATGAAGGTTTTTTTTGTTTTGTTTGGTTTTTTTAAGTGATTTTTTTGGGGGGGTTTCTGTGTATTATCTTTGTATTATCAAAAATGAATATTTTCTCTTTCAGCCATTGGATGTTCCCAAGCACCTGTTGGCGCTACGCAATCAGAGGATGCTGATGGTTCAGACCTTGTCCCAGTACACCTTCGTGTACAGGGTCCTCATCCAGTACCTCCGCAACTCCCGGCTGATCTGACCACGGGCATCAGCACAGATGATTTGCAGTGGATTTTGCTCCACAGTTGTGCCAAACTGCAGTGCAGTGATGCAGATGTTTGAATCTGTTCTGAAAGGTGGCTGCTTACATTCTGTTCTGGCCATGTATTAGAGCCGGCAAGCCGGGAGGTGCCGATTGTTGAGATGTGCAAGACGCTGTGCCACATGAAGGGGCACAAAGACTTGTGACCTGTCTCTAAACAGTATTATATATTATTTCTTACATATATTGGCTACTTTATAAGGCCCAGCACTTTCAGAGTACCATGCTGTACATAAAGAACCAATATTAAGCTGCATTAAATTCTTTTAGATATCTATCAAAAATCATTGGTTGATTTTTAACTTGCCTAAGAACACTTTTATTGTCAGTATGTTTTGAATTGCTGTTGCTTTATTAATTCCGATAATGAAGGATTTATTTTTTTTAAGTTTGGAAAAGCTTGGAAAATGTGTTTGATATGAAATCCATGGATTTAAACTTTATTTAGTGACCTCTGCTGGTGCAGACAGAAGGATGACAATTCATGCAATAAACACAGATATGGCTGTGTGATTTAGTGTAGTCATCTGTATTATTAATAGTACTTTTTTTTTTTAAAGACGCCATACCTGCCCAATATTTGTTTACTGAACCAATACACCTGCTGAAAGAGGCATGGGAAGTGATGGGGAAAAAAGAAAACACACACTGGACTGATCAAAGTAGAAATTTGCTGCATGGGTTTAAAAAGCTAAAATAAATGCTGGGTTTAGAGTAAAATTGGAAAATCTTTTTTTTAATACATTCGTCTGTTTTTATCTTAAACTGAAGATGGAGTGTTACGTTTCTGCGCTGTAATGCTGGCGGGCCTCCGTAGCTTGGTAAAATATGAAGGAGTGCAGTGATGCCTTCAGAAACACGAGGGTTGATATCATGACAGCAGCGTCTTTGTTTTAATGAAAGGCAAAAAAACAAGGAGGTGGTGTTGCAACAGTGTTACCATAAGAGTGCATGCAGTGTGTTGAGTTTTGCATCACCTCTGTTGGCCATGGCCATGGTGCTCGGTTTGAAGTGCAAACTTGTATGGATGGTGTATCTCTAGTTTCAGTATTCTGGCTGCCACACTTGTCCCGACTCCAATGAGAAATGTCACTCTGTAGATACACTTCCTGCTTCCACAAATGGCTGCCAGACTGTTAATGAACACTTGTGCAGTCATATTAAACCGGAGTTGGGTTTAGCTGCTCTGCTGCAGCTGTGAGTTGCATCCAGATCCATTTTTTTCCCTGTGCAGAACAAAATTGTTCTGGATGCCAAGTAATACTAGTTTTACTGACCTGATATTTGGGGGATTTTTTGCATCAAAGGAACATGTTACTCAACAGGAGGGGGTGAAATGTTGCTGAGATTTATTAAGTGGAACTTTTTTTGGGGGGTGGGGGATGACCATAATTTCCTTCTGATTGTTTGGTTCTGGCAGAAAGACGGAGTCTTAGTTTGGAGACTGAAAATATGATGTAAGCGTTTTGTCCATGTACAGGTTGTTCATAATGTACACAATGTAAAAGTCTGCTTTGATGAATATTGGTTGTTGTACAAACTGTATCTATTGAACTGAACTTGGTATGCCATTGGACAAAAACAAAAAAAGTGTAAAAATTATTTTCAGCCAAGAATAAAAACTTGGAAATAAACTGTTGTCTGTAGCTTCAATTTATGTGAGTCCAGGCTGCCACCTTGTGGTAGAAATGTGCTATACCACTTCTGCTGTTTTTTAATCATTTCAATACAACATGATTGTAGAATTGAAAGAGGTTTATTAATTAAAAACAACAAGAAAAGGCTTCTCACCATTATATAAATAACTATTACAGGATCCTGGAAGGGGAAAAAATAAAAACAGTCTCCTCTGCTTAACCCTTTAAGCAGAGGAGACTGTTTTTATTTTTTATCAATCAATGGAACTACAGTGTAGTTGTCCTCATTGTAATCAGGTTATTCAGATAGTAGTGGTTTCAGTCATCAGAGTCCATGCAGCATAGGGAGCTATTAATTGATAAAGGTCACATTTAAAATGCAGTCATCATTTTAAAAATCCATCTGCCTCTTAATATTCCAGATGTGCAAATTTACAGTAATATGCACAAGAATGTTTAGAATGCAGTCTTCATTTGGAGTGTAACTGCAATATTATGGCCACAGTGTTTGTGTTTGCCACTTTTGTATGAGTGAAAACTCATGTACTGAGTGCTACTTTCACTTTAAAAACACTGATGACAATAGTGAAGGGGGGGGAACGATGAGCACAGATAAAAGCTTAAGGTTTTCCACCCTATACTGACAACCATCCATCAGCTTTTCATCCATAAAAACCAAACAAACAGTTGAGGTCATGTGAAAAACTACGTCTAGTGTCGCAAGAAAACAAAAACAACAACAAAACCCAGCAAAGGACAATGAGTGGAAGCTAATACTAGTACCGTCCTCGCTTCCCTCCATGCCCACTGTGTCCTCCGTAATCTCCGTGTCTGCCGTGTCCTCCTTGATTCCACCCACCTCCTCTCCAACCACCTCCACCCCCTCCTCTTCCTCCTCCTCCTCCCCATCCACCTCCACCACCTCGTCCTCCTTGTCCCCAGGCTCCTCCACCTCGTCCCCCACCACCACCGCCACGTCCTCCCCAGCCACCACCTCCGCCATCTTGTCTTTTCTGCCAGGGGGGCATCTCAGGAGGCGGGGCTTCGATCTCTGAGGGACGTCCTCCTCGATCTGGTACTCTTCCCATCAAGATCTGCAAAGACAGGTTAAACAGAACGTCTATGAAGAAAACGTCCAAATCGGCCCGACTATTCTGACCGTGGGAAACGTTTGCTGCACCTTGTTGACGGCACAAGCGGTCTTCTCCCTGCTCGAGCCGCTGCTGGTCTTCACCACATTGCAGAGATCTTCTCTGGCAGCCAGCAGCGCCGCTATGTCCACAAAGGACTGAGGCCTCAGAGAGTGTCTCTTAGGCTGGTAGGCTCCTGCCATGCTGTCCACCTTCACCTAAAACACAACACAACTATCTGAATGCTTCCCGCTATTCGCCAAATAACCACAAAACATTCTTCAAACAAGCAGACGTTAGTTTGAAGTGTGACTGTAAACATACCTTGGCTCTGTCTGACCACCCAAATGACTGAACAGTGACGTCGAGCCGTTTGATCAGCATCCTGCGGCGACATTCGTACTCCGACGATAGAGTTGCGTTGATGCTTTGTAATTTTTCCTGCAAGCATTAAAAAGAGACCTGTAACAACAATACAACCAGATACATACACAGTACAGTGTAGCTACTAGCCGATCATATACATACCCACTGTTCACTACTGAGTGATTTCTTCAGCACTGGGTTTCCAACAGAGGCACCAGGAAGGGTTTTAAGCAAGTTTTCAACCTGTTAAACAAACAACAACAACAAAACGATCAAAGAGAGACAGTGATGTAAAAATACAATGATTAATGTATCACACACAACAATTTCCTCCTAACTTGCTATCTCAAGTATTGACAGCTAATGAAGCAATGCAGGAAGAAAATGTGTCGATGTCTGTCTGTGCCACCTAATAATAATGAGCAGAGAGTGCTACACATTTAAATTACACAGCCAAGAGGTTTTTTTTATGTGTTACTCTGATTATTTTGGAATGGGTGGGACGGTAGTTGCCTCACAGCAAGAAGGTCCTGGGTTCGACCACACCATCTCCCCAAGGCCTTTCTATGTGGAGTTTGCATGTTCTCACTGTGTCCGAGTGGGTTCTTATCTACAGCTTATAGAATACTTTTTTTTAAGATTGCATCATGCCTTGTGTTAAAGAAGGAGGAGCAGATCTTTGTTCATTTGCAATTACCGTAAAAGAATTGCGCACACTGCTACTACTACACATACATTTTGATCAGTAAATTGAGCCTTATTCTTGCTCATCCTAACTGAAATCACGTGCAGTTTAAACAGCCTCACCTTATTTTGAAGTTGAGAGAAAACTCCTGCGGCCTCCTGTCCCTTTGGCACAGGTAGTTTCAGAGTTTCACAGATTGCTGTGAGCTCCTGGTTCACTGGACTCTGGCCTTGTTTATCAGAGACTTGCCTGCTTCTCACAATCTGGGCGGCCTGAAGCTCAGAGCTTAAAAACACTGAAAAACAGACACAAAAATCTAATCTTCCTACTTACTTACAGTTTACAGCCCACAGGGTGGATTACACAGAGTGATACATACAGACAAACTTGAGATGGTCTTTTGTTTTCTGCCCAGTGCCCTTGAGAATCCCTGAAACTTCACAGGGGCACTGCAGCTCCCTCAGCAGACCACTCATCTCCAGCTGGAGGCTGTCCATATCGTCTTGGAGGAGAAGAGCAAACAAAACAGATGGGAGCGCAAAGATTAGACACTGTTTTTTAGATCAGATTAAGGTGAGAATGGATGCTGCTCACCTGGGCCTGAGGTGATGCTCTCCTCCAGGTCACACAGGGGCTTTAACCTGGCTGACAGCCACTTACAGAGATCCACATATTCAAGCGACTGCAGGCCTCCTTCCGCGGCTCTGAGCAGCGCCTTCTCCTCAAGCAGAGGGCCGTCATAGCTACGGACCAGCACACACCACCAAAAGTCAAACACATCCAGGAGTTAGACGGGGGTCTTGGCTGCTTTATTTTGATTGAAAACACGCCGCAGGATGTGGAAGTTAAACAGTTATGCTAGCAGTGACTTCGCTTACCCAAGCTGCTCTAACGAGTCCAAAATGTCACACTCCATCGCTGAAGCCGCGAGCTGTTTCACGCGCGTGTATCTACTAAAAACATGACAGCACAGGGGGCTTTAGCATCCATTCATTCCGTTATCGTGGATATCCGCCTCCACTGTGGTCCGACCAAGACAATGACCCGGAATGAAACGGGCGGATTTCGGAACTACGTTCCGCAACTTTGGTTCCGCCTAGGTTCCGCCAGTTTTAGCAAAACTGTAAGTAAAGCGTGTCTATTTCCAAAATTAGAGTTATATATGGTTAAAGTTAAAACAATAAACTTTGTGCATTGATGTCGGAAAATAGATGACAAATACAAATGCTAACATCTAATCAGCCAATTATATGGCAGCAGCTCATTTAGGCATTTAGACCTATGACCAAATTTCGCATCAGAATGGAAGAGAAAGGTCAATTAAGGGACTTTGAACCCATGTCTAGAGTTTACAGGGAATGGTCCGAAAAGATTGTAGCTATAGATAAATGGCTCCAATCTTAACCTGGGGGTTGTCTTGTTTGTTTTCTTGTTCTTTCTTTTTTTCACAAAAATTGGTTCTTTTATGTGCGTGTAACCTTTAAGTTTAGCTCAAATCTGTACTTTTGTGTGTAAAGCTCTATGTCCAGGCCCGGATGCAGGGGAAATGGACGAGACTGGTTCGACCCACCATCCAGTTCTTCCTGGTGTCGTTCTGTATGTGGGATACACGCGCGTTTCTGACTACAAACACCACCCGGGCGACGTCCTGGTGGGACTGCTGCAGGGCCCTCTCATCGCTGTGCTCACAATGAGTGCATTTCTGAGTCACTTTTATTGATGTTTATTATTAAAACTGAGGATATTTATCCAATTATATAAGGTGAACACTTAAATCCTCTATTTTAAAGTGTAGATAAACATATGAAAGCATCTATAATGGGGCCATCAGCATCAGAACTGAACTGTCAGCCGACTGGTATGATGAAAGTGATGACGGCTGGATGCACCAAAGGAAGCAGCCAACATCATGGAGGCAGTGTGATGCTCTAGGGAATGTTCTGCTGGGAAACTTTGTCCTGACTTCCATGTGGGTGCTACCCCCCACCTAATGTTCTAGACCACTAACAACCACTTTTCCTGATAGTGGAAACCTTATTCTGCAGGATAATGATGAGTCCGTAATCCTATCAACATCACTGTTAATTATACTACTGCCCATCTAAGTGAGAATAATTATTTTTAAATCTTAGCAAGTTCTAAAGATTAAAAAAAAAAAAATAAATAAATCAGGAATCTTTTTGAAGACAACACGATGTTAAAGGCCCTCTATATATACAGAAAATTCTGCCTTCATGGCTTCGGAGAACCAGCTCACATTTCTATTGCATACCATTACTGGCAGACATTGCTGTGAATTTTGTAGGAATTTAGCACATTGGGTCTCTCAGCTGTTGATAAAGTCTTTTCTGCAGCGTCCTTTGCAACCACTGACATCGACTCAAAGTAGAACAGCTACTCCTCTGTATCGAAAAGAGCCAGTTAACGTGGTTCAGACATCTGATTAGGATGCCTCCTGGCCATGTCCCATTGGGAGGAGATCCAGGACATGCTTGAGAGAGTATATCTTTCAACTGGCTTGGGAATGCTTCAGTGTCCTCCTGGAAGACTTGGGGAAGATGTCTGCAGAGAGTGAGGTCTGGACATTTCTGCTTTGACTGCTGACCCATCAACACTGCCCCAGATAAGTGACAGAAGACAGATGAATCGATGGCTAGATGGGTTTTGGGCTTGAACTAGTTCTACATTTTGTGGTCCCACCTCACAACGTATAGAACCTAAAGGATCTGTTGCTGAAGTCTTGGTTGTCAATCTTCAGAGGTCCCCACCCATTTAATGTTGCGGTTCACTAAATGTATGTCTTCTTATATTTTGTCTTTCTCTATGCAACATTGTATATGTTGGCTGTGATCAAGAAATCAATCAAGCGCAGGCAAAAGATTAAAACTCACCATTTTATTATGATAATGTTATTTGATATGTCAAATTACAAGTGTATGATGTAACATAAAAACAGTTACAAACATATGTATGCATATTTACATTATATTTATGAAAAGTAACAAGCTACATCTGTATAAAGAAAATACAACTATGACATGAGTTATTGGTACTATAAATTTTACAACAGATACTTGGTATTCTCGAACCATGATAATACCTAGACGTGTAGAAACCAATAAAACCAGAACAAGAGACGTTAAGATGGAAACTAGGATGGACGTGAGGCACTTTTGAGGTTGTCAGGATGTGAAAGCAGATGGCACTAAAGGGAAACCAAAAAAAAAAAAAAAAAAAAAAAAAAAAGATGCACAGGAAAAAGAAATGTGCACAAATAGAGAAAGTGAAAGAACGAAAAGTAAGAAAACAGGCAGTGTTTTACAGAATAGTTAATAGTACCATTTATACTGCAAGTTTCAAAACACAAATGTCTTCCACTATTTAGAACTAATCACGTAAATGTTACATCGAGCGCTGTAAGATGAAAAAAAGCTTACGTATAGTATCATCAGTGCACCAAAGCATCGGAGAATTGAAACATAACCACTCAACTGCTGTAAAAAGTAACCGTTTTTAAAACAATACACTGAAGAGAAACAGGTTTATATAGCTTTTTTTTCATCTTTCTTAATCTACACAATGTCAAGAATGTACACTTGTATGCATTCCCAAAGATATGCACAGTTTCCAAGATTGAAAGAGGATAAAAGACTAGCAGCAAAGTGGTTAAAACTGAAGTCTTTATATAATGCAGGTCAAAAAAATATATATATATTAAAGCGGACAGACACATGTTGCATATATAATACAGTACATGACAGGAAGTTGCACTGTGCTGGTTAATGCAGAATGAGAAGTGTTATTTCAGCATTCTCTACACTTTGTATAAATGCACGTCCTACATTTTGCTTCTCAGCCAGCAAGTTTTAATCAGGTTCATCAAACCTTGGTTCAGCTTGCAATAATGCAGGGTAATCAGATTACAATGGGAGAAAAAGACAACCAACCAAACATTTGGTTACACACACACCAACGCACATGCACACCGCCAACCTACCTGGAATCTAGCACGCACACACATACAAACACACAGCCGTGGGCACAATATAGTAACACTCTCGCACCCACACACATGCACAAGTGTCCACTTCATCACACAGAGCAATCAAACATTGCAAAACTGACCGTTGTCGTTATATGCTGTTGGAGAATTAAGGTTTAACAGTCGTTCATAGCTGATTTTCTCTGTCAACACA